TGGTGTACCTAATAAAGTGGCCGGTGAGTGTATATGTATACACACATGTACATATATTTTACAATGAGATAATTTTAACACAAGCTCGGAAACTATAAAAGCAAATATTTACATTTCTTACAAATCAAATGGAGTTTAATTATGAAAGACATTTGAAAGAACTAGAGTCAAACAAAGTGCTGAGGATAAAATTAAAACTTACAGCCATCAGTTGTGGAAACAGAAAGCTGCTGATGGACATCAGGTCCACCTGCTGTGATGTTGAACTGTCACAGAGCGCCCTCCAGTGGCAGAAGTTTGCAGCACATCAGATCTGTTTTTGTTAGCTCTGAGCTGTAACCAACCACATGTTAGTTTTATTGAATCCTCTTCATTCATTTCATTATTTTTGATCTTTTAAAGTGAAATAACAAGGAGTTCTTCAGGTCTTTTCCTTTTGAGGAGGAAAAATGACACAATAAAGGAACAACTTGTGCCAAATTTGAGTAAGTTGTCAAGGATTAAAGACACAAAAGTCTAATTTCTCCAGGACACACCTGATTCTATCAGCTGTTATTTATTTAAATGTTATTTTTAATTGTTTCAGGTTGCAAAGCTTRGTTGTCACTTTTGCAAATCCCTCTGCAGGACATCTAATACCCAGAAAACAGCATTAAATTGTTACAAACTGCTGCTGTCATTTCCATTCGTTGGCATTTAATTCAGTTGATGTAACTGTCTGTTCATACTGAGAAACTACAATAAAAGAAACAACACGGTGTTAAATTGCACCAAAAACATTTTTTATTCTATAAAAGAAGAAGGAAGAGAGGAAGAGGAAGGCCAAATAATCACAACTGTACAGAGAGAAACTGACTTTAAAACACCATGAGTCACAGTATCAAAAAGCTCACGTTGTCCTCACTGATCTTTACACATTTGTTCTGTACAAATAAAAATAAGAACAAAAAAAACAAACAGGAAAAATATTAATAATTGTATTATTATCATAACTGCATTGCACTGAGTAAATATACTACTGGCCCAGAAGTTACTGCATTCGATAGAAAATACCAGAAGTTTGTGGTTTTTGTGTGTTGGTGAGTCGAGGCACTCGAACACAGACGGACAGTCGAGTCTCTGTCCGCTCTAATGTCTCAGCAGGGACAAAGTCCTGTCCACAAGTTTTACACGTCAACATTCCCCAAGCTTTGAGGAAACACTGAGCGAAAGGAAAGAAAGAAAACTGAAGCAGAAAAACAAAAAGGTGTAAATATTATTTAACATCAGAACTGACCCGGGTCCAACACCAGGATTTCCTCTGAGCCACTGTTTGGGTTCAGAGCTGCTCCATCAGCTGATTGTTTTATAATAAAAGCTAAATTAACAGCTAAATGTGCAGCATGGAGGCTAAATTAAATAAAAAAAACTTTGTGTCAAATAGGGATATTTTTACGGGTCAGCTGACTCAGTTTGTAATGAGACTCATTTTAAAGTTTGAATTCATCTGAACATATTCAGTTTGTGGTTCCTGTATGAAACAAGTGTTGGATGATTTATTCTGCTCTGAAATCAGTTCTTCAGCTGCTTYTGTAGCTTTTAGCTCGGTGTTAAAACTGAAAGTAAACCTGGTCCAGGTGTAACAGCTGGATCTG